CTAATCCCCCATCCTGAACATGAGTAGCTCCCTGCGTGTACACTTTATCCGCAATACCCGTGGTGAATAAGCGTGCTCCGTGTTGCACTTTTCTGATCATTACGTGACTGAATATACGTGTTCCGAATTATCGTCTGTTTCCTTTATAGCTGGGCTATAGCTTAGCTAGTTTCGGTCTGTTTCCTTTATAGCTGGGCTATAGCTTAGCTGGTTCGTAATATGCTCACTGAATAGACGTGCTCCGTGCTACACGTCTGATACCCGTACTGAAAAAACGTGCTCCGTGCTACACGTCTGAATCCGTACTGAATAAGCGTGCTCCGTGCTACACGTCTGTTTTCCCGTATCGAATAAACGTATTCCTTGCTACACGTCTGTTTTCCGCTACTGAATAAATGTTCCGTGCTACACGTCTGTATCCTCTGTAGAATAAACGTGCTCCGTGCTAAACATCTGTTTCCTTTATATGTGGGCTATAGCTTAGCTGGTTCTGGGAGTCTAGCTAGATGCAGGAGAATCTGTCACAGAGATTTCTGGGTCAGTCAGGCTTTACTAGCGTAGCAGTCAGCCACAAGATAGATGGATATAGTGGCTTACTGGACGTATTTGTGACGCCGGTTCAGTGGCTAAAAGACTTTTCATTATAAGTTGACATAACTTTTGGAAAAGAAGTAATACAATTATGCATCTAGGTTTTCCTCCATAGTATAACTATCACCAAGATAACTAATTCCTTCAGCCAGCATCAATGCTGGACTTAATATCACCGAGACAAGAAATGCATTAAGAGAAAATCTAGACACCGTAGGATAATTGACATTCTAAAAAATCGATAAATAATAAAAAATATAATCAATATGAATTATTATGGTGGGGTGCGCAATAGACTTACCTCCACGTGGTGCACTCTGGGAAACGTATATTAACTGGCAGTTGACTTCTCACTTCAAACTACTATGACCCGACTATTTTTCATATTCGACCTCTTTTACAGTACTCATCTTACCCTTTCTATGCCTTTGTGTCTGTCTGTCTCTTTTACATCTGTGAATCACTCTTCTGTTCCCCTTCTCAACTTTTTGTCACTTTGATGTTCCTCCTCCTTTCAGTGGAGCCTGAAATCAACTAAAAGGCTAATGATAACTATCAAAACGCTTGCCATTTGATATAAATAAATAAATTATTATGATATAATAATAATATTAATGGATAATTACATTAAATACGAGGTAACTCACATTTGCCTCATATTCCTCATCCAGATCCAGCAGACTCTTTAACCGACTCGGTTGACCGACGAGTTGAAATGAGTGGGAGTGATCGGCCGTGACAAGCAACAGTGTCTCCTCCAAGTTGACCAATTTTGTTGCCTCCCTAATAGCCTTTTCAAACGCCAATGTGTCAATTAGCGCCCTCCTTTAAATAAAAAATTGACCACCCAATTTACATTATTAGCATCTCCTATTGCATTACCGCCCACTTTACGTTGGAATGGGAAGTGAAAATGAGAGAACTTACTTTCCAAGGTTATCGTGATGAGCGTGATCAATACGACCTCCTTCAACGAAAAGGAAGAAGCCATTTGGCTGACGGGAGAGTATTTCGATGGCAACGGTTGTCATATCAGTAAGAGAAGCTTCATCCTTCGCTCTATCGGCTTCATAGGGCATGTGGGAGGGAGCTAAAAGGCCTAATTGAAACAAACCCCGGTAAAAATTCCTTCCAATGGAGACATCTTAAGGCGAAAATCATACCAAGAAGATAGTCAACTTCGCTGAAGTTCGTTTTCAGGAATTTTCTAGAATCATTAACAAAAAGCGCTCGGTGGTTGCAATTTCTCCTAGACTTCAACCATTCCTCGGGTAGGTTCCTTCCATCAATGCGAGTACCATTTGCCTCTTGGGGATAGAAGTTCTGAGAGCCACCACCAAGTATTACATTGATATTTGGATTGTCTTCAATTAACTGGCGAGCAAGATCCTTTGGCGCTTCAGCATTAGAACCACAGTTAGCTTTTATTAACCTATTAGAAAATAGTTACCAAAAATGCGATCTCAATTATATATTAAATAAAGTACTCAATAATGACTACAGCTGGTTGTATTGCAAATAAAAACGATTCCGTGGAAAAATTATCTAGCAACAAAGGTAAAATCATATAGATTATTGAAACAGGTGACAATAAATTAAAGAAAATTTTACTCTGTAGTAAAGATAAAAAATTAGGCACCTAAAGTAAACAACTTTTTTTACAGCAAATGAGACTAAGCTGTTCCAGAAGCTAGAATCAGGCAACATAATATGTACCGTCTGATCTGAATGCCTCCGAAACTTACTGCTGAAAAGAGTACAGAGAGAGAACATTGACATTGAGATTCCGTCTTTATCGACATAGTGAATTGAATGCTTCGGCCTTCATGAATTTCACCCTTTCGACCACACGCACGGACGGACGCACGCACCCACACACACAAACTTCTATCTCAGAGATGAACTTCTCACAGAAATGGTTCACGAAAATCGTGGTCACGCAAAGGCGAAGAGACTTCTGAGTAAAGAAAAGTACCTCATTGAAGGCCAATCCATCCGATTCTTTTCCAATGAGAATGAATTTAGGCAAAGATCATAAGCACAGCTTCATGAATAAAAGTTGGGTTTAATTGCTTAGAGTCCATCGGGCACTCTTCGCGTCATACTGACTCGATTTCTCCTAACTGCAAAAGTCTTCGGACGTGTGTCTTACTCTACACACAACGATAATTAGATGTCATATCTTCCAACACATTTGTCCAAGAGGCACTTATGTTGAGCGCAGATTTCTACATGGAATTCGCAGTCACTGTAGTAGTTAGTGCGTAGACCGCCACATGAGGTAGTCGATGACAGTTCATGTGTACACTGACANTTCCAACACATTTGTCCAAGAGGCACTTATGTTGAGCGCAGATTTCTACATGGAATTCGCAGTCACTGTAGTAGTTAGTGCGTAGACCGCCAAATGAGGTAATCGATGACAGTTCATGTGTACACTGACAGCAGGATTCCACCACCCCTGTCACATTTCAAGCAAGAGCCATACATGTTTGTAAGCCCATTTTATGACCACAACAGTGCCCAATGTTCGCCTGGTCACCCAACTCCCGCCCTCCCCCCCCCGTATTTCCACATCATCACCTCGTGGAGTATGATGTCGAGAAAGACACCACTAATCGACAGTGCCAGTACATCAAAGCCATCCAGTTACTGGACAGAATGCAAGCATATGGAGAGTGTGAAATTTAGGCAGCTTCCGGCTCCTAGGTGTGGACAGGATCGGGATCGGAATGAGATCTTGCCAGACGCTAATAGCTTAACAAAAGTGTAATTACATCGTCAATTATTTCGAATTTAGGCCCTCTCAAATTAACCTGGCCATCTATAAAACTCATTTTCGTAAAAAAAATTTTTGGTCAAAACTTCCTTCATAAAAAAAGCTCTCTAAAGTCTAATCAATTCGTAAAACAAATCGAAATTATATTGCATTAATAATAAAAAGAATCCATTAATGTAATTCGGAAGCACCACCCTCTAGGGTAAGCATCTAATTGAAATTATCCACCTGAGCCCAATTCCCTCGAGTCGTTAACACTCCCTGAGCAATGATTTGATTGGTTTATTAAGTATTTGACGTCAAGATCCTTAAGAGAATGGAAAATCGAAACAGAGCTTTATTTGAATGTGCATATTGAACGATCTGCAAAAGGGTAAGTAAATAACCTGACTTTTCTCTACCACTTAAAGCACAAAAGCCTGCCAATCAGTTGGATCTGAGGGTAAATCTACTTTCCTGTAGTCAGATGGGCAGAAAAGGTGAAGAGGCAATCACTGTCTCATTATCTTGAAAAAAATAAAGTTATATTCTCTCCCCCAACCCAGGTCAAACCGAGTACTTTCGATCGCTTTAGTCGACTGGCAGGCAAGAATAGAATTGATCCGTTTTGAGTTTAACGAATTCAGTACGTCAGAGCCTAGTATTTGTTTGATATCAGTTCCAACAAATGTACACTAATCTTTGTCATTTTACAATAAAATTCAAATGGACTAAGTCTCGTTTGATTTTCCAATCCTTAGTTTCTATTCCTATTCAAAGCCTTATATTAAAATAGTGCAATTTCTCTTGTTTGGTCAAGAATGCACTTGGAACTTACGCATCACTCTCCCAGTACCTAGACGCAACATGGCCATAAGCACCAGCTGGTGATGCGTGTGTGATTCGAGTGGAGGTCACGATTCCAGTAGCCTTATTAGCCCGAGCGGCAGCTTTCAGAACAGAGTCCACCTTCTCCTCATCCTTATATTCTCGGCATTCATTTGGTTTCACGTCTCCGGTCAAGCCAATCATTCCCGTCGTTGTTTTCGTTCCTGAAACGAAAGAATTAAATTACGCTTATGTGAATCTCCCATACCACTAACCAAATATTTATTTATTTATTTATTTCAAATGGTAGGCATTGCGATAGGTATCATTAGCCCATTAGCTGACTTCAGGCTTCACGGAGAGGAGGGACTCAAAGTGAATAAAAGTCGAGAGGGGGAGAGGACAGAAGAGTGATTTACGCATGTTAGAGACAGACACATAGGTAGAAAAAGGCGAGGTGAGTACTGTGGAAGTTGTGGAATATATACAAAGGTGAGGTGAGTACTGTAAAAATAGTCGAATATGATATAGAGTGGGGTGATGGTAGTTTGAAGTCAGAAGTCAACTGCCGATCAATAGACTTTTTGCAAGTCAGAAGTCAACTGCCGATCAATAGACTTTTTTGTCTTTGAAGTCAGAAGTCAACTACCGTACAGTGGGGTCATGGTAGTTTGAAGTGAGAAGTCAACTGGCAGTTAATAGACTTTTTTGCCGTGAGTACACGTTGCCCATGGTGCATCACGTGGAGGTATGTCTGTCCTACACCCCACTACCCAAGTATATTGACTTTTGAAATATGCTTACCGCTTGTCACCTTTATCAATTTCACACTGAGAAGGCGCCCCGAGGTGGTATCTCAAATTAATAAGAGCGTGGTGGGGGGGGGGGGGGGGGGGGGGGGGGGGNGGGGGAGGGGAGGGGAGGGTAAGGGGAGGTGCGGTGAACAGGGGGTCGATAAAGTTGAGAGTTAGAGCAATCTAATCTGCTTCGTTAGTGGAACAGTGATTAATTACTCTGCCCTATGAATACTCTTGTAAGGAGAAAAACAAGCGATTTGCAATCGTGCTAGATATACATTGCCCTTTTGGATTCTGATGTTTAAAATTTCCAAATAACCACGACTTACGTCCTCTAAATTTAACCATTGACACACGTCTCTATGACCCACGTATTTCCATAAATAGCATCCGCGTAAGATGGGTTAGAAAAAATTGATCATACGCAGAATGTCACTAGAGCCTACGCAAAAGTAATCCTTCAATCAACATCCATACTGCCAAACCTCCAAGATTTTATAGTTCCCTCTGACAATTCCCTACCTTATCAGCACTTTCCTCAATACATTACATGCAACTGAAATGGCTACCATATATTCTCGGTTGATCACAATAACACTAACTATTATAGCCTTCATATCATATTATTTGCAATCCCGAAAAAAATTGAGTAATGGACTCAAATGTTAATTGCCCATCCTTGGAAAGCCTAAGAATACCCCACATTTAATGTGATCAAAAAATACAGCAAACTCACCTCCTAGATATGCTGTAGCAGAACTAGCGGAATCAGTGACTACAGAGTTGAGATCGTAGGTACGGACAAGAGTATGGAAAGGCCAAGCTTCAAACGCCAGCTCTGGAGTCGTTGAACCCAGTTTTTCTTCCACCTCAGTTTTGTAAAATCTGCTTGCGGCAACAGTGGGAATTCCCATGCCGTCACCCAGAAAAAGAATCACATTTTTGACTGGTTTTTTGGGCGAGCCCAATAGGCCAATCGATTTATTGAGTCTTTCCCTTGCGAGTGTTTCCCAGAAGGATGGCTTGATTTCCTCAGGGTTGGCGGGTATCTTATCTTTCTGAGAGCATACCAAATGGAACCGCAAAGTCAAGAGAATAAAAACTGCAACTAACGCGACGGAACACAGCTCCCTTGACATGACTTCCACACAAACAAAATGTAAGCGATCACCGCTTCGATATATTCTATATCCCCCCCTCCACCCCCACCAATGTCTCATTCGTGCGTGCGTGTGTGACCATGCGTGCAGTAAAATGAACAAATAGGAATTGAAAACACTGTCTACTGTTGCTGTTTGAAGAGCTAATCATTGGTTGAAAGATTTACACTTAGGTCACAACAAGATTTCACAAAAATTTCCAGTCAAATAGAGCTTTCTCATAAATTATTTGCCAATTATGGTTAGGGCAATTAGCCCATTCATTTATAAAATGTGGTCTTTAGATAACCTCTATTTTTTTCTTTCATTTGTTGCACTGCCATTCAAAGATAAATGGATAAAATACCTTTTTAGTCCATTACCTGATATAATGTAAATAAGGGGAAAAAATTCTAGCGATATTTTAAAAATTTTGACATAAAAATTAAGCTCATCAATTTCTATCAAACTGGTGACGTGGTTAATGAGTGAAGCATAAAACGAAAAATGGAAGTTGAATTAAAAAATTGTGTGCATCAAAGTGATTAAAAGAGAAAAAAACTGAGACATTAATTTGAATTCCTGGGCATACAAAATATACGAGATAATTGGATGAGCTAGGGCAAGAGAAAGCGATTGGCCACTGAAAGAGGCAATAGACATAGGAGAAATTTGACAGACGTAGTAATTGCACTATTGTTAAGGGGATGAACCAAGATAATAACCATAAGCGACCGACAAGGTCTCATTCCGATCCCGATCCTGTCCACGCCCAAGGAGCCGGAAGCTGCCTAAATTTCACACTCTCCATATGCTTGCATTCTGTCCAGTAACTGGATGGCTTTGATGTACTGGCACTGTCGATTAGTGGTGTCTTTCTCGACATCATACTCCACGAGGTGATGATGTGGAAATACGGGGGGGGGAGGGCGGGAGTTGGGTGACCAGGCGAACATTGGGCACTGTTGTGGTCATAAAATGGGCTTACAAACATGTATGGCTCTTGCTTGAAATGTGACAGGGGTGGTCGTATCCTGCTGTCAGTGTACACATGAACTGTCATCGACTACCTCATGTGGCGGTCCACGCACTAACTACTACAGTGACTGCGAATTCCATGTAGAAATCTGCGCTCAACGTAGGTGTCTCTTGGACAAATGTGTTGGAAGACATGACATCTAATTATCGTTGTGTGCAGCGTAAGACACACGTCTGAGGACTTTTGCAGTTAGGAGAAATCAAGTCAATATGACTCGAGAGGTGACCTTTGGACTCTGTGCACTTCGAGCCATCTTGTCCTGCATAGTTGTTAGCAATGTGTACTCAGTGAATCAATGCTGTAAACATTTCACTTAGCAGTAAGAAATGCCAATAGAGCTTCCCAAGAGGACAGTGGAAAGATGACATTTTACTGGCTCCCATGCCAAGAAGGGATATTCTAATATTCAACGACAAAATTTAAAATCGCAAAATCTCTTTCTCAATTGGCTTGGGAATTGGGGTAAGAAATCTTCCAATTTGCGAAATAAAATATGTTAATTAAGTTGATTCTTCTCATTGCTATAGCGCTTACTCCGATAAATCCGTTTAAACTTTTAACCCTGCAAGGTTAACGTCAGGTATGATATTCTGTATGCATCATTTCTCTTTCTCACGTTCTATTTCATTCCAATAAAACTAATAAAATGATATCACTGTGGAGTACGCGATAGACTTACCTCCACGTGGTGCACCCTGGAGAACAGATACTCATAAGGCAAAAAATTTATGAACCAGCAGTTGACTTCTCACTTCAAACTACCATGATCCCACTGTATGTAAAATTCCACAGTACCCACCTTAGCTTTTTCACTACCCTTATGTCTGCTTACCTGTTACATTTGGGAATCACTCTTCTTCTCCTCTTTCCCAATTTTTATGGCTTTACCTGTTCCCCCTCCACCACCCTGTGAAGCCCGAAGTCATCTAAAGGGCTAATCATGACTATCTCAAAGCCTGCCATTTGATATATATCGATATGAATATTTTGTTGGCTCTGTTTCTCCTACAATAATAGCACTACATTTTTAAACAAATGCCTAATAGAATTCTTAACTCTTTCGGTATTTACGACTCTGATGCCCCTGCCATTCACAAAAGGTGATTTATAGACTTACTTTAAACAGCTTCTTGTAGACATAAAGCATATTTGTTTGAGAACGTTTGGTGCGTTTGACGGGAGATCGTGACTAGAGTGAAGCGGTCAATGTTGGCCAAGCCACATCGAAATTGCTCTATGAAATGGAATATTAAGCAAACCTTCACTTTATTTCTGCGACTTTGGAGAATGACATTTCATCCTTTGAATTTCAACCCTTTCCCCCCACCCCCACCCCCTCTAGTGATTGGAAGCAATTATTGTTAGGGAAATGAGAACGAAAAAATCACGTTGCTTCCTTGGGTCTAAAACATAGGTCTCTAGCTGCAATAAATATTGGCATTTTAAGTTCAATATTCATTAATATTATACTCTCATTAATAATACGACTATTTTAACAAAATTTTGCCTCTTATGATGCAAGCAAAGCCAATTTCAAGATGCCAAAAATATGTTACTTCATTTGCTTGTGTCGCCGTCTAATTAAATACCTATATTTTACGGAGAAAACATTGTATATGCCGTACACAACAAGGAATTATGAATTAATTAACATTAAAACAATGAAAAATGCGACGAACGGTCATTACACTCGATGGGGTTACATGCTTGAGAGCGAGCGTGATGGTTAGATTGACAGCTCCCAGTACCAAAGGGCTTGCCAACAGAAACCTAATTAACATTTGTGAATCCCCCCCCCTCCAAGAACTCTGCACAATTTCTCCGATCACTTCTCAACAATTATTAACGACATTAATTTAATTTCTTTTCCTGAGTTATAAATCAATTCATTTTTGTGAGCTTTTCACCTTATTTTTACAGGCTATCAACAAATGACACTTATGTTTTGACAGAATGAATGATCTTCGACTGAAAAGGTCACAGATAGTTCATTGGCCATCACTTTTTTACTTCTCAAAGAAAAAATGACATTAGTAAATCCTTCAACATAATTTTGTTTTAATTTTCATTTAATACTTTGGAGAGTTTTGTGCAAATGTTGCTTTTCTCCAACGATTCGCAAAAAAAATTTGTCCCACATTTCATCTCTTATTAATACTACTGACATTAATAGATTATTTCATGCTCCCCAAACGCACACTGAACCAAATTACAGAGATTTTGGTCTTATATATGTATCTTAGGCACTTCACATGACAAGAGTCTAAATTTAAAATGTGGACTTAATAACTAAACAAATGCACACAATATTGCCTAAAAGATCAGAAATATTCTCACCTTTAGAGTCTTGGCAAAAGATCCTCAAATAGAATTCGGGAAAAGTTACTTCTCCTTCGTTGCCAGGCGTAGTGGACAGTAAAACAAATACTTTTCTCTGAATGCCACAAGGTTATCGGTAAAAAAGGTGGAACTTATTCATTCCACAGGCCAATATATGGTTGTATAAAAAAAATTTGAAACGTAAATTTGCATGGATTTATTTTTCTTTTTGGCATTAAATACTTTTGATTTTCAAATATCAGTTTTCATGTTCCCATAAAATTGTTTCTTTTGCCTAGTTAATATTACATCTATCTACTTCTTTTGCTTTTTAAATTAAATTATTAATTGGTTATGACGTTTTTATTTAGAAACTTGAAAACTAATTTCGCAGGTAAAGAAAGCTCATAGAACAAACATTAATAATTAAAAAGCACAGTTTTGCTTTCCAAATCCCCCCACCCCCTTACAATTCAACTAAAGAAGGGAAATCTCATTTTTCCTTCAGCAGAAAAGTGAATCATAAAGGGAATTATGAAAGATTCCGTCTTCCTAGCTAAATATCATTAATTTGTTTAAATCAAATTTTCCTATTCGTGAATATTAGCTATTTCTATTTATCGTACATCTTTTTAATTTGTTTTACAAGTAAGACTCAGGCTTTATTAACTCAAGGTGGAAATGTAATTGACTAAGCCTAATGCTTAATAATTTTCTTGAATAGCCCAAAATTGTCATAGTGTCAAAGTTTTTGATAAGTTCATTGGGACGTCTCAGGAGAATCAACTCTTTTGGCATTAGGGTTCAACTAAAAGAAAAAAATTTCAGGTAAAAGTAATTCAAATTGTTAAGATTTCGTTGACTATTTCAAAAATCATGCAAAAAATCTGCAGAAAATTTGTAAAAATGGTTTAAAATATAAAGGTCAATAAGATTTTGAAAATTACTTGGTCTATCATCATTACAAAATCCTTTACAACACCATGGATTTTAATTGTAATTGGCGCCGCTATTTCGCTAGTGCTAATTGGTCAGTTGATAGTGATAGAGAACGCGCTTCTAGAAAAGGATTGGTCGATGCGTTTTTCTTTATAGGTTAAGGGATATTTCAACACATTCCTCCCCTTTTGTTGGATGAATGAAAATCCTTCCTTTCCCACAAGGTAGATTCAAAAGGTTCGCTTTGAGTCCGATGTCGCGTTGAGAATGTCAACCTAATGTGTGGCATTTCAATTAACAATAATTCATTCAATGTTGTGGAAGAACGTAATAATTTACAATACTTCAATATTTTCACTCGAATTACCTCGGGATTGAGGTTTTATTTAGCCTTCAGAGACAGAATTCACCTCCGTTGACTGATTTAGCAATGACAGCCCTGTTGAGCCGAAATCTTAAAGCATGTTGATCGACTTTTCATAGCCACGAATTTGTATAGACGTCTTTTTGAAGCGGGAAAAAATTCCTGCTAAATAGAACCCAAAACATTTACTCCATTTATGCAATTAGACATCTTAAGCGAAAACACTAATCGAGACTGATCATTCTAGTCTACCTATTTTTAGTGGAAATGGAGTGTGCGATAGACTTACCTCCGCGTGGTGCACCCTGGGCAACGTATACACATACGGCAAAAAGTCTATTAACTGGCAGTTGACTTCCCACTTCAAACTGCCATCACCACACTCTATGCCATATTCGAATATTTTCACAGTACTCACCTCACCTTTTTTCTACCTTTACGTTTGTCTCTTACATCTTTGAGACACTCTTCTCTTCCTTCCCCCCCCCCCCCCCTCTCGACTTTTTTCAATTTGATGTTCCTTCCCCTCTGTGAAGTCTGAAGTCAACTAAAGGGCTAATGATGACCATCAAGACGGCTGGCATTTGATATAAATAAATGAATATTTGACTACCTCCATACTACTCACCTCACCTTTCTTTAACCTTATTGTCTGTCTCTTTTAATTTTTGAAACACTCTTCTGCTCCCCCCCCCCCCCAAAAAAATTTTCACTTTGATGTTCCTTCCTCTCTGTGAAGCCTGAAGTCAACTAAAAGGCTATTGATAATTATCAAAACGCCTGCAATTTGATATAACTAAATAATTTCAGTTAATTAATTAATTAATTTAGGAGAACTCCATCTGTTGAAGCGCAATTAAATTGGCGAACAAAGGTGAGGCTAGTAATCTCCCAGTAAAGTATTTTCACCCTGATAGTTCCTGTCAAAATCAATTAAGACTTTATGAATAAAGTTGAAAGAAATTCTTAACAATCGTGCTTGTTGAACGATTATTTTATTTCAACTTGTTTTACTTGTGCAAAATATTTCATCCATCGTGAAATCTACAAATATCATCTCGGATGGAGCGAAATTGCCAAGTTGGGTTTACATACACATATGGACACAACAGAGTCTCACGTGAAGAGTCCTTTTTTTCTAAATATCGAAGTTGCATCGAAAATTTCGTCTTGGGACGGGGTTGTGAAAAGGCTGAGAGAAGTTTCCTCGATAGTCAATTCAGCAAAATAATAATTCCATTTTGTCACCTTCCCGGAGGAATATGCTTCGTCGAATTCACTTTTGCATCATGATTACAGGTTGCACAAAGGGGCATGTCTTACTGAGCACTGCTAAGTTAAAACGATCGGGCACCTTGATTTGCCGCATTAGAATTTTTCAATCGATTTATTACTATCATTTAATATATGCTTACTTCCTCAACTATGGAGGACAGAGTATACTAACTTGGAAAGACCACAATCATGGCAAACTACCTGACTAATAAGTTACTAATTTCTTTGAAGGCCATTTGCAAGGTATTTACAAAATTTGACAGGTAAAGTATAAACCATCCAACAAATAAACTATGCTTTACACCCACTCGAAAATCGTGTGATGTGAGATTCTGTTAACTTAACTATTTTAGCACATTTCAAGAACAGATAATTTACACAATTTTGTCATTTCCTGTGACCTATACAAATTGTACCATACAATGAGCAAGCTCATGATCAGTTGTAATTAAAGTATCATTTCAATGAATTCAGAAATTCGGTTCGCTGATTTTGTCAGCTGATTTTAGCTTTAGATCAATGAAGTAATTTCATTCTATCATTATTAATGAAATAGATGCGCATATTTACACATCCATTCACTTAAGTCATTCAACTTAATTGTATCAATGAATAAAGCCTGATAGAGAAAAAGTTTCGATCTCACATTTTGAATAGGTTACCTTCCTGTTCATTTTAAAGCATGTTTCAGCCACCTTCTAATCAGACTTTTAAAGACTCCCCAATCCAGTGTTTCATTTTTCAAATATCAGAATTGGTCACTTAAATAACCCCCAAAAATGAGTCAATAATACTCATAGCCTTTTGGACTACGTGACTAAACTGTTTGGCTGTTCCTGCTACTTCGAAAATATGCCCAATCGCTTTGATATGGAAATATTCCAGCTTCGCCAAGCTCAACAGATTTCCCTCAATGTACCCTAACAAGTCTATCGCATCAACTCGTCTTCTAATTTTAAATAAAAATGAATTTTTGCCACTGCTATTTACGTGCAATTATATCTGCCAGTATATTCGAATTTAGTTTGCTTATAATATCTTTTTTTATTGAAAATTCAAGGAAAATTGAAAGAAAAACACTTTAACCTTGATACAGAATCATAAATACTCCAAGATTTTAAGATAAGAGTAAACGCTTTCCTGCAGTTCGCCTGATTGTAAACAATTCGGTTTCACCAAGGGCTAATATTCGCAGTAATTATATATGACTACTTTATTAAAAAAATTACCGAAAGTTCAAATAATTCTCTTTTTCATTTATTTAAGTTGTAACTCGGAGTAGCAAACATTGCCTTTGATGAATTATTTATTTACTTTTTCCAAATGGTAGGCGTTTTGATGATTATCAATAGCCCTTTAGTTGACTTTGGGTTTCACAGGGGGAAGGAACATCAAAGCATCAGGAAGTCGAGGGGTGGGGCACAGAAGAGCGTTCCAAAGAAGAAGGTAGAAAAGGTAGAAAAAAGGTGAGGTGAGTAATGTGAAAGTAGTCGAATATGACATACAATGGGGTCATGGTAATTGGAAGTGAGAAGTCAACTACCGGCTAATAGACTTTTTTTGCCGTATGAGTATATGTTTCCCAGAGTGCACCACGTGGAGGTAAATCTATCCCACACCCCTAAAGTGGCGGAGACATGGAGCACCTGGGTATCGATCCCAGCACCTCTCGCATGCTAAGCGAGCGCTCTACCATATGACATCTTGTTTCAATGCACAATATTTGCCTTAATCGCATTAAAGTCGGTTTTCTATCAGTAATTTCTATCGTAATTTTTTGTTCCCAATTAAAGGAATCTGAGGGTTACTTTGAAGCTTCAAAATTATTCCAGAACCTTTCAGTTTATTTCAGGTATATTACAACACGCCAAGCCAAAGTTTGGATTAAGAAGATTTTAGACGCAGTTAATGAAAACAAGTTGGTTTCACATGGAGTACTAACAGCCGGTTATGAAGTGGTCATCCATTCCTCCTTATATGTAATTGTCTGAGTTGTCTTTGGTGTTTAATAATAGTATTACTAATTTTAAATAAGTACTGATTTATTTGAATGTCAAATTAAGGAACCAGCACTTGCTTAACGCATTCGATCAGGTCGAATATTTCCACGGATAAACCGAATTTCAATATGGATATTTAATAAATTAGTTTATTTGTACGAGGTTAAGAATAAGAAGTACAGAAAGCGGCATGCTTTATTTGGAATTTCAAGGTTTTGAAAAATATTTATTTCTTGTAATTGGAAAATTATTCATTGCTACCTCTTTAAAATGTTGGGTTCGTTATAATCGATATTTCACCTAGAAATTAAATAATACTATTAAAACCTTTTAAGAGTAGCGCCACCGGAGACTGGGGGGGGGAGGGGAACAATGCATTCTGAAATTAGGCAGTACTTTTGACCAACCACATCATTGTGTGGGCGACAATGAATATTGACCCTTAAAACCTTTAGATGATTGACCCATTGATTTAATTGTTTGATAATTATCGCAAAAATTAGCAGCGTTCAATCATTTTGGTTTTTTAAAATTGGAGCGATTCTAAATACAACGCATTTTGTGAATGATATGAACCACTGGGGAGACTATTTCACGTGGTGTTCACAAAGGCATATGCTCGACCCAACCAACTGAGTGAAATAAGAACCAATCAAAGGTAATCCCTTAGCAGCAATATCTGATAAGTGTTTATTCCAGAAATTAACAATGAGCTGGATATCCATATAAATGTAGAGAAGGCAAAAATTTATCCTCTTCTAACAGAGGTTATATCTGGTAATGAGGATGCTAAGAATAACCGAAAGAGCTGAGAACCCAAGAGTTGTAGACGCGTTGATGCAGTGTGGTTCTCTCTCAAAGGGATAAAGGCACATTGCGTACTTCATTAATTGGGCAATGAATGTATTGTCCACAGTGGAGTGGAAGAATTGACTGAAGGCACCAGTTGCGTAGACACCGACGTCTTCTCCTCCGTGGGTTGATGAGTTGAGAGGGATAAAAGCGGGTAGTTTGTTCTCCTTGTCAGAGAGTTTTGCAAGGATTTCTTTGCCATTGAGATCACCACGAAGCTCATTCACTTTTCCTGCAGAACCAGAGGAGTAGAGGAGTGGGATCATACCCTTGTTATCCAATGTCTACAACGAAGTTACTTCCAGAATCAGCTACTTAAGTGCAATCTTAAACGAAGTTGTTTGTTCCCAACCAATTTACAAATTTTTCTGTTTTGATATTACCACTAGTAACTGTTTTAATTATATTCGTTAATTTAATGCACTCTATTAAGGTAGCGGAAAATATCCCCAAATGTAATGACTCATATACGAACACACCTTGATCCAATTCTCTGCTAGACTTATTCGTCCAATCTTATGACTTTAAAAGAGTCAAATCCACCTAGATAAAAAATGTTAGGAAATCTATTTACATGCCCACGGATCATCCATTTCCTGATTCACCCTTTCCTCTTTTGTCGTCCAGTGCACCAGTGGCCCACTTCGATATATCCTTAAAATTGGTTATCCCACGGTTAATCACCTTAATTGCGTATTCGATTAGATAAATCTCACAAATTTAGATAACAACTTACTCGTGGACTATAACTTTCGTCAAGAGCTAGAAGACTGGTTCGTCGACTTGGCTCACCAACAAGATGGAAAGAATGGGAGTGATCGGCTGTGACAATAACCAGCGTCTCCTTCAAATCAACCATCTTTACGCCTTCACGAATGGCCTCCTCAAATGCCAGCATATCAATTAACGATTTCCTATTGGGAAATAAAATCCATAAATTGGCGCCGAGTGTTGTGTTATTAGGGTCAAATAATTACTACAACACTCGATAAAAGTAGCTTAAAGATGCATGTAAGCAGACGTTTAGAGGAAATAAATTGATCTTAATGAAGGTTGATTGTTATAGCAGAGTGAAACTTGCTTTCCAAGGTTTCCGTGGTGAGCGTGATCGATCCTACCACCTTCAACAAAGAGGAAGAAACCATTGGGTTGACGTGAGAGTATTTTAATGGCCACAGTTGTCATATTCGCTAAAGATGCTTCATCGGGCTTTCTATCCGCCTCGAAGTCTACGTGGGAAGACGCTAAAAGACCTGAAATGAATAAGCGAATGTAGTAAATCGATTGAAACATCCAAAATCTCTAGTTGTTGCATGGCCTCAACTCACCAAGAAGATAATCGACACCAGTAAAGTCTGTTGTCATGAATTCTTTTGCGCTCTTAACAAGCTTTGCTTTTCGACCTTGATCCTGCATGCGTTTGAGCCATTCTTCAGCAATATTTCGTCCATCGGTGCGTTGGCCACCGTTATTTTTATCATGGAACATATCTAAACCTCCACCGATCATAACATTGATATCGGGATGATCTTCAAGCATTTGACGTGCAATATCTTTAGGACGGCTCTGCTCCGATGGACAGTCTTTTTCTACATGACTAGAATGAAATTTGAGTAATTTAGAACTTTATGAAACTGATGTTGCATAATTTAACGCCTGGGTTTTCTATTAACGAGTGACTGGATAAATATGGATCAAACTTAAAATATCTGCACAATCCTTATTTCATATTAGTTCAAACATTAACGGATATTTCACAAGCTGTCTTAAAAAATCTAAAACGCCTAAATGTGCTTAATTAGTGATAAAACTTTCTCTATGAATATCATATAAACGTTGGGAACTCACTAATTCTGTCAATCAAATTAATTGGTTACCCCGAATTTTCTAGGGCTATCAATACAAAATTTAACATTTAAGTATGGTATAGTGATAATATGACCTGAAAGAGTGTCCCACGTTAGTAATTATATGTATTATTTATTAAATTCTACATGTACACTCTCTAGTCCAAACCTTAAAAATTTTTTGTTTACTCTAGCGTGAATTTGTGCATAAAGGATAATAGTAGCATGATCGACTTAACTAAGGAAGGCACTATGGTTGGAATTACCTGTTGGATTCCCACTTTCGGTAGGAGATATGCGCATAGGCACCTGCTGGTGAGGCATGAGTGATTCGAGCAGTGGACACCAGACCAGTGGCCTTGCCAGCACGAATAGCAGCCTCCAGAACTGAGTCAATCTTCTCCTCCGCCTTATACTCCCTGCATTCCTTGACTCTAACAGCACCAGTCAATCCAAGCATTCCAGTGATAGTTTTCGTGCCTGAAACACAGAGGTCACATTTTTTGAAGGAATAGTGCAACTGTGGTTCGCACTCCCTAAGTCGATTATCGTCACTGCCAACCACAGTCTGTTGGTCCACTTTAACATCCCTCCATATACATGACCTTTGTATTTTGTCTAAACGCGGAATCTCTAAAATATCACTCCAAAAGCCCTAGAGTTTTTGCAGGTGACTGTCAAGAATCACCGTACTTGTAAATTGCATAAAGCCGACTGTTGTGGCAAATTTAACTGAAAGCATCCATTTTTCCGACAACTTCCTGTCGAATGCTCTTTCATCATCTATTCACTTACCATCGATGGTGCAAAATTTGTGAAAGGTACGAAAAGGCCATGGAATGCTTGCAGGAATCAACCAACTTCAATGCTTGAAAATAATGGAATTTAAGGAGATGGTTTATTACAGTGGTCAATAGGAGGTTGGTAGGAGTACATTGTAACCTCTTTCCTCAAACTTCACCAAGTTTGGGTGGTAATTCTGTTATCAAACTAAAAATTTATTTCCAAAATAAAAACGGAAACGCTGGCCTTTTCCAGTCAATGTACAATTATTATATTAGCGCATGAATTTATAGGAGTGCTTACCTCCAAGATAGGCAGTTGCAGAACTGGCAGAATCAGTGACTTCTGTGTACAGATTGAAGGTACGGCAGAGGGTGTGGAAAGGAAATTCTTCAAAATACAACGAGGGATTAGCAGCACCCATTCTTTTCTCCATCTCAGCTTTGAAGAATCTCGCAGCAGCGATGGTGGGCAAGCCCATGCCATCACCGAGAAAGAGGATCACATTCTTGGCTGGTTTCCTTGGTTTTCTGTAATATTGGAAGGTTCGTCGGATCCTCTCCCTTGCAAGACTCTCCCAGAACTTAGGCTGAATTTCATCTGCGTTAGCGGGCACTTTGTCTTTTTCAGAGAAAGCCTTGGTAAAGTCCAGCGTCAGTAGAATGACCAAACCAAAAATTGAATGTGCTCTTGGTTTCATTGGTATATCCCTAATAGAGGCCAACACTATACCATTTGGTTTTTACCAATTTTAGGGTCTTTTATTCTACTCAGTGGCGTATGCGTTCTCATTGCGTGGGACGAATTTATATAAGCCAATTAGATGCTGGAAACTGTTGTGAAATCTTATAGTATTATTGTTAATTGGTCAAATTGTGATCATCAACGAATTATGGCGGTTTTTTTGCCGTTAATATAACTGAATTATCATGATCGATCCGGCTGAAGACGAAAGACTTGCGGGTTAGTCTTAAAGACAAGCAAGTCAATTTGAAAGATGGTGTCATTGCACATCTCATTTAGTGCAAATTTTGCGGACTTTAGAATAAAACCTGTTAGCTGGCACAAACACATAGACAATAGAAGTGAAGGAAAAGATGAGATTCCCCTGTGCTTCAACACAACTTATTTAATTTAAATGCAATGGAGAACAGTAGGAAACAACTTATCAGTCAGTTCAGGTCAACTTGGTCAGTATTCAACTTGGTATTACATCTTTCTCAACAAATGCTTTTCAAACCTGCATTTAAAGGCATGATGAAATACCTTTAGGTCTCAACATTTCCCTAATCATGAAATTTCAGTCAGTCATATCTAATTGATCATAGTAGAGAGGAATTATTCAGCTGGAAGTTCAAGATCTTTGCAATTAATTCAAAACTGAAGGTAAATTAATCAAGGCGCATGGAAGGTCTCTACTTTTGATCATACTAAAATCCCTTTAGGTCTCAATATTTCCCTAATCATGAAATTCCAGTTAGCCACATCTAATTGATCATAGTAAATAGGAATTATTCAGCTGGAAGTTCAAGATCTTTGCAATTAATTTTAAACTGAAGGTAGATTAATCAAGGCGCATGGAAGATCTCGACTTTCGATCAACCGTCAGGACTGCATAATTCATCGAAGTGTATTACTTTTTATCGACTTTCTGGAAAGATAGTAGATAAAGTCTGTTCCTACTTTTTATTACCGGTCAACTATCATCTTGGCCTATTCAATGGGAGATGGTGCCATTAAAATAATCATTAGTAAGGATATATGAATACTTTCATTTCAATCTAAATAAGGAAAGTTGAATCGTCTTATAGTGGAATTTCATTGTCAGCATTGTCACTTACTTCCATTGTTCGAATCAGTGGAAAGCGGTGGACACACAATCTTTGATCTCGTCTGAGTATCTAATAAGTAAAAATCCTGAGCCATACGGACAATCCCCCCCCCTCCTTATTGGCGCGAATATTATTCCAAGGCAGTACAGCTCCCTATTCAAGGCATAAAATGCTTGTCACCATATTGCATAAAAAATGATATTTATTATCAGTGCTAGGGTATTAGACCGTCTACTTCTCAAGCAGCCGATAATAATATTAATATATTTTTGAAAACAAAAACACGATGGTACTGCTATTAATTGCAATAAACGATGGGGGGAGGGGGAGGGGTATTTGTAACTCAAAGTGAAGTAGAAAATACTCAACCCAAGTGGTGAGGTATGAAGAAGTGTGAATGACAATATTAGGTCAAAATAGCAACTTTCTGTCCTTTTGGCCTTTGATGAAATCTTCGAACTGTGATTATTGAATTACATATTCACGAATGGCCAACCAGCATAAAAGATGAAAAATCATTACCTTGATTTCTTGTTAAAGTTTTCACGAAATTATCGTCATATGAAGTGCCCAACCCCGTCTTGACTGAACAAAGGCATCTAATGAGCACCCAAACGGAGCCGAAGCAAGTGCATTCGTGATTGCAGAGACCTCTCAATCAGCCACCAATTAACAGTCCCCCACCCCGTGGTTTAGCTAGCCCTTCATTGGAATCTAATGACTAACCCCCTGTGTCAGTGACACACATCCCAAATAAGAATATTACACATCGAACGTCTGTTTCGTCTTTAATTTGGCGGTAGCTTAGCATATCTCTAGAGTCTGTAATTAATGTCCGACTTTTATCACATTTATTAAATTTACCACTTTCATTCATCCCCCAAATTCGGCCCATCAATCTGTAGATCAAAACTCTATCGATTTTATTACAACGATTTTCAACCTCTAAAAACATATTTATCTATTATGTTAATGGTGGGAAAAATATTTAATGCAATGAAAGGACGTGATATTTCACAATAAAGCAAATTAATTCAATTAATTTAATTCAATTGTTTTCAACCCAGTCTCCCAATTATTGGCACTTGATCATGACGCAAATGCTTCCCTCTGAAAATATTTGCAATAAATTATAAATTATTAATTTATTGGGAAAGCACATAGTGGATGGATCTCAATGGCTCTTAAACCGACAATTGAAATGCGGACCGTGTAAAGAAACGGTCACGTTAACCCCACTTGAAAATGTCTGGCCTAATGCACCCATTTTCAATATTAAATATTCCAAATGCATTCTCAAAGCATTAACAGATGGTGAATGTTCGAGAATAAAACTATATTTCTAATATCCCCACGTCTTATTCATCTGCAATCAGAGTCTTTTTGATTATTGGAACAGCTGGTGGAAATGCCCATTTGTATGGAAGTGCAAAGAAAATTTCTTTTGAATTACTTTCCCGTGAGTCATGACTCGTCGAATGCATGCGCCTTAATTGATCCGACTCGAAGTTAGTCTACTTAAATTTCCCATAGTTACCTTGACCATATGGTGTTGCAGTGGTAATGTTTTCACACGCAGCACAATGTTACATCGATTTTCATCACAATTTTCCCTAAATAAAAGTTGGAAACCACCTCTCCCTCCCCCTCCTCCCTCCCCCCTCCTC